GTGGGGTGGTGGTGGGGGGTCTGAGTAACAATACCTCCTTCATTCCCTTCTTGCAGAATAGCAGTTTCTGAGGTGAGGGGAGAAACTTGCCCTGTGACACCCGCCCACCCCTTGGGCAGCAGCAGCCAGTGGCCACAGTGCAGGGCAGAAAGGGGAGGCCAATGCTTCCTCCTCGAGTTATCTGTCCATCATGCTTCTCATTTAAATCTAGCGTTAAGGAGTGCTTTTTTGGGGCCTGTAACTACTATGGCACCTTGCCCATTCAGCCTTTGTAGGCTCACCTTTATAACAAATTATAGAAAAATCTGGTATCAGTGAATTTCAACTTACAAATCTCAAAGTTGCCACTCTTATGGAACTCTTTTTAGTGGGATGAAGAGATGAATAAACAACAACAAAAAAAGTGCTATGAGCAATAAACCAGTTCACGCCGGAGCCGAGCGAAGGCAGCACCTGTGGAGTCTTGCAGTTCTGCGGAACACTGAGGAAAAGCTACCCCCAGACGCTGTCTGTCACCATGGGTAAAGGAGACCCAACAAACCGAGGGGCAAGATGTCCTCGTATGCCTTCTTCGTGCAAACCTGCCGGGAAGAGCACAAGAAGAAACACCCAGACTCTTCCGTCAATTTTGCCGAATTCTCCAAGAAATGTTTGGAGAGATGGAAGACTACGTCTGCAAAGGAAAAGTCAAAGTTCGAAGATATGGCAAAAAGTGACAAAGCTCGCTATGACAGGGAGATGAAAAATTATGTTCCTCCCAAAGGAGATAAGAAAGGAAAGAAAAAAGATCCCAAATGCTCCTAAAAGACTTCCATCTGCCTTCTTCCTGTTTTGCTCTGAACATCGCCCAAAGATCAAAAGTGAATACCCTGGCTTATCCATTGGGGATACTGCAAAAAAATTGGGTGAAATGTGGTCTGAACAGTCAGCCAAAGATAAGCAACCATATGAACAGAAAGCAGCTAAGCTAAAGGAGAAATATGAAAAGGATATTGCCACTACCGCACCAAGGGCAGAAGTGAAGCAGGGAAGAAGGGTCCTGGCAGGCCAACAGGCTCAAAGAAGAAGAATGAACCAGAGGAGGAGGAGGAGGAGGAGGAAGAAGACGAGGAAGATGAAGAATAAATGGCTGTTCCGTTAATGATGTGTGTGGAGTGTGTGTGTATGCTCAGGCAATTGTTTTGCTAAGAATGTGAATTCAAGGGCAGCTCAATATTAGCTTCAGTATAAAAACTGTACAGATTTTTGTATAGCTGATAAGATTCTTTGTAGAGAAAATACTTTTTAAAAAATGCAGGTTGTAGCTTGTTGAGGGGCTACTATATAGTTAGATTTTAAGGCTTCTGATGTTAAATGTTTCTAAATATTTAATGGTTTCTTTAATTTCTTGTGTATGGTAGGTAGTACAGCAAACTTACAGGAATTAGTAGCAATAGTAAATTTTGGGTTTTTTAGAATGTTGCATTTTGTTTTTTAAAAAGATTCTGCAATAAAATTATGTATATTAAAAAAAAGTGCTATGAAGAAAAATAAGTAGGCTATGGGGACGCAGAATGACATAGGTTTCTACTTCACATAAAGTAACTGGAAAGACCTCTCTGAGGAGGAGACATTCAAGTAGATCAAGCTCTGAATAATCAAGAGAAGGGCGTCCCAGGCAGCCGGAATATTGATGCAAAGGCCAAGGGTCAGGAACACGAGGGGAGCATGTGAGAAACATCTCAGAAGCCAGTGTGGTTGAGGTGGGGTGAACACCGGGAAGAAAGGTAAGAAATGACATGGGAGTGACAGCAAAGGGCTGAGTCATGCAGGGCCACAGGGGCATCAAGAGGGACTTCAGGTTTTACTCCGAGTGCACTGGAAGCCACTGGAGGTTCTGAGCAGAGAAATGATTTTTTTTTTTTAAAGATTATTTTGGCTGCTTTGTGAAGAGAGATTGCAGCAGCATAAGAATAGCAGCAGGCAGAGCAGCCCCTTAACCTGGGCAGGCTCGCAGACTGCTCTGCCTGATACACAAGTCATGATGCCACGCCAACTTCCTGGTCAGGCTTTCAGAGATTGGCACCTCACTCTTCATTTTGCGGCACCTCATGTCGCACTTATTCCTCTACAGACCCACATAAGTCCAACTACTCTAAGACCTTCACACTGGAGAGGCCATCTCTGGGCTCCAGTGGACGGTCCAGTCACATGCCTGATTACAATGAGGGCCACTCAGCCACTGAAGTGGGAAGCTTTTCAGTACTCTGTTGGGCATCCAGAAGAGGAGGGGATGAGGGCATGACCACACAAGATGCACAAGGGCAGAAACGTCAGAAACCCTCCTGGCTAAGCCCATGCAAAGTCATGGAGGAATGATGTGCTGTTGGTATCTGGTGATGCACACCGAGACAAGTCCAGCCTTGGGGTCAAAACCAATTTGATATTCCCTCTGATCATCTGAGACTGCTGTCCATCTTCAGTTCCAGCAGGACCTGCAATGTTCAGGCCCAGAACCTCCTGGTGAACAAGACAGAGGTCAAGCCACAGACTCAGTTCCGGGAGAGAGAGGCCCATCAGAGCGCTGACACAGAATAACTCAATCATGCTACTGCTAATCGAATTTCATTAGTCCACTACTCATGCCAACTTTTTGTTACACAAACATGCGAGAGTCATTCTGTCATTAAAGTGGAGAATGAATTAATTTACCCTATAGATTTTAACCCTTTGTTCAGGGTATTATATATGTTATTTTAAGTCAGTAAACAGATTTTGGTACCATTGTTTAGCCATTTAAATAAAAATAAAGTTAGATCCCTACTTCAAATTAAAGCTGTAAATAAACTGCTAATAGCTTAAAAATCTAAACATAAAGAATAAAACTATTAAAGTTCTAGAAGGATACAAGACATTACTTGTCAGTTAAGAAGGAGAAAATCAAATAGACAAAACAAATGAGAAGATGCTTAAATTCACTAGTAATCGAGGAAATACAAATTAAAGCATCAAAAGGTACAGTGAGGCTCCTCTCACAGGCCATCTCACTTCCCGAACTCCATTCAACAGAAACAGAAGTGCCGATATGTGAGGGACTTGAACCTGGGCAAAGCTGACTGCCTCTGCCCGTCCAGCTGGGAGCCCCTTCCTGTCAGCATGTTCACACTCAGGTCCCCTCTGCCCCTCTTCATGGGGCGCTCGGGCTCTTTCTTCTTTGCTTTTTCCCCAAGTGCAAAAGTCCCCTCAAACTCTTCCCTCTGAAGCATTAAGCAGCCTATGAAGAACAAATTTAGTTAGCTTTTGCCTCAAATTCTCCTACTCAATTTAAAGGTCTTTCATTACAAAATGTGCCATCAAGGGAAGGAACTGCTCGTGAAGGAGGAATTCTGTTGTTCTCCCAAAGCAGCCAGTCGAAGATGTACATTATTTCTATTCCTGCCACATCAAAGGTTCAATATTATAAACCCTAATAGTAGGTCAAGGGTAAAAAAAAAAAAAAAAGCTTTTCTTTGTGACAGGAAGCCATTGGATAACAATCATTGTTGATAAAAAGCCTTTAGTAAGAAAACACTTCCTTAACATGATAAAAAGAATGTATCTCAGCGCAAAGTCATGTCAGGCATCACGTTTGACAGTGTAACAGGCGCAGTTCCATTACAGCCCGGGGAGGAGCAGGTGGTCAGTTCTCACCACTGGCTAACACTGCTTTGGAAACACGAGCCCACATGATGAGACGGGCTCTGAATAAAAGATGTAAATGGTGGAAAGAAGGTAAATTTGCCATTACTTGTAATATGATGAGCATATGTCTAGAATATCCAGGGAATCAACTCACATAACTAAAGTTAACTTCACTGACATAACTATCAAAAAACCAAAAAGTTCAAAAAGGTGTTTGGTTACAGAGAAACAGAAAGGACATCTAAGTCTGTAAGCATGTGAAGATGATTGATC